CCCCCTACCCCTCGACCCCCTACCCCCCCTCTATCCCTCCCACCCCCTACCCCCCACTATCCCTCCCTCCCCCTACCCACCCACTACCCCTCACTATCCCTCCCTCACCATACCCCACTCCCGGCAATCCCCCATCCCCCATCCATCCCCCTCCCTCCCCTACCCTCCCACTTTCCCTCCCCTCCCCCACCCCCTCCCGTCGACCCGATGACTGTGTCTTGGCATCGGTACGACCTTTTCGCTCAAAGGAAGCCGAGACAAAAGGGGACTGCGCGCGTGCATTGCGAACAGCTGGTCAGACGGGCGAGGAAGGGGGAGGCTTGGGGTTAAGGGAGGTTTTGGCGGGGGGGGGGGGAGGGGTTGGGGTCTAAGGGGGAGGGATTGAGGGGTTAGGGGAGGCTAAGGGGAGGGATTTGAGGGGGTTAGGGGAGGGGCTAAGGGGGGAGGGATTGAGGGGCTTGGGGGCCTAAGGGGGAGGGGTTGGGGGCTTAGGGTGAGGGTTTGGGGCTAAGGGGAGGGGTTGGGGCTTAGGGGAGGGTTTGGGGGTAAGGGGGAGGGGTTGGGGAAGGGGGGAGGGGTTTGGGGGGTTGGGAGGGTTGGGTCTAAGGGGGGAGGGGTTTGGGGCTAAGTGGGAAGGTTGGGGGCAAAGGGAGAGTGAGGGTTAGAGGAGGGGGGGGCTTGGGGGCTAAGAGGGAGAGGTTTGGAGCTAAGGTGGAGGGGCTTGGGAGCTAGGAGAGGGGAATCAGTATAGGAGAAGGGGTTAGGAGAAAAGAAGGGCTAGGAGGATGTGTGCGAAGGTACAGGAACGGGGAGGCGAGGTGGCGGAGGGGAAGGAGGGGGAGAGGAAAGGCCATTAGCTCGCACTCAACAGGTTCCTCTGTCATAAATCCCTTTATCAGAACGTCTATGATTCACCCTGTGTTTGTTGTGGCGATTAGGATCATTTGCTCTTGACGCTCGACGGTGCTTCTTAATGGTGCTTGCGATAATGGCGGTGATTATGGTGATGATAACGAGTGAACGATGGTGGTGATTGTGTTAATGGTGGCTTCAGGCGGGGGGGCAATTAGCAGCGGACCCGTGTGCTAATTGTACAGATACTTAATTGGAAAAGGAAATAATTGATCTAAAAACAAAAAATGGAAAAAAATTGATTAAAGATGGAATATAAATTGATTTAAAAAATGGAAATAAATGATTAAAAAACAAACAAAAATGGTAATAAATGGAGAAACAAAACAAAAATGGAAACAAACTGAATAAAAAAAACATGGAAATAAACTCAAAACAAAAAAAAAAAAAAAAAAAAAAAAAAAAAAAAAGTCTCAGTCTCAAACGACGCGAAACAAATCACTGAGAGATTAATTGCTTGATATCAGAGGCGCTCCACAACAAACACAACAACAAGAGCAAATGAGAAGTTAAACGCTTAAACACGAACTTAAATTAGGAGATCTAAAGAGAGAGAGAAGAAGAGAGAGAGAAGAAGAAAGAGAGAGAGAGAGGAGGAAGAAGAGAGAGAGAGGGAGAGAGAGAGAGAAAAAGAGAGAGAGAGAGGAGGAAAGAAGAGAAAAAAGAGAGAGAGACAGAGCGAGCAGAGAGGAGAGAGAGAGAAGAGAGAGAGAGAGAGAGAGAGAGAGAGAGAGAAGGAAGGAAACATAGGGATTTAGGAGAGGGAAAGAAGGGAGAGGGAGAGGAGAGGAGAGGGGAGGGAGAGGGAGAGGGAGAGGGAAGAGAGGGGAGAGGAGGGAGAGAGAGGAGAGAGGGAGAGAAGAGAGGGAGAGAGAGAGAAGAGAGAGAGAGAGGAGAGAAGGAAGAGAGAGAGAGATGAGGAGAAGAGAAGAGAAAGAAGGAGAGAGGAGGAAAAGAAGAAACCAAGGAAAGAAGAGATGAGGAGAGGAGAGAGGAGAGAGAGAGAGAGAAGAGAGAGAAGAGTGAGAGGAGAGAAGAGAGAGAGAGAGAGAGAGGAAAGAGTGAAAGAAGAGAGAGAGAGAGAGGAAGAGAGAGAGAGAGAGACGAGAGGGATAGACGAGGAGAGGAAGACAGATCAGACAGACATTATCGAATTCACCCCCCAACCTCTCCCCCACCCTTCCCTCCTCCCCTCCCTTCACTTTTCCCTCCATTCCCCCCTTTTCACCCTTGGGGGCAAACACTACCCACACCCGCGCTGTGGGTAATCCGTGTCCCACTTCTGCCACAGCCACGTGCCAGCCTCGTCCCCGCGTCGCCATGGTAACCCGAGCGGGCGTTCCTCTCGGGGTCGGTGGGGGGAGGGGAGGGGAGGGGGTCAGGTTACCCCCCCCCCCCCCCCCCCCCCCCCCCCCGCCCCCCCCCCCCCCCCCCCCCCCCGGGGAGGGGCGGGGGCACCCCCGTGGGGGGAGGGCGAGGGTCTGGGGGGGGCCGACGGGGGCCCGGGGGTCCTTTTTCTTCCTTCCACCCCCAAAACCCCCTCCCACCCCCCACTATATAAAAACATTTTTTTTTTTTGGGGCCCTCCCAAATACGTGGCGACGCGTCCCAACGAACTACCAACCTACATTCATAGACCCATCAAACCTCATAGAACCTACCGGACATCCGTCTCCTACCTCTCGAACCCTTCTATTAGCTCTTAAACTAAACTCATACAACTTACCTAACATACATTGCTTTAATAATAAATATTCAGGCCCGAACGTAGGATTCGCGTGTCTGAGTCGCTTTGGTTGGTAGGATCCAGAGAGAGGAAAAGGAGTGAGAGGGAAGGAGGGCCGAGGGAAGAGAGGAAGAAGAAGAGAGGGAGAAGGGATGGGAAACGAGAGAAATGAGACAGGGAGGGAGGAGAATTGGACAAAAAGCCAGAAAGAGAAAAAGGGAAGAAGAAGAGAAAAAGAGAGGAGGGAGTACTTGACGTCAGAAAACAAGAAAGAAAGAAAGAGACCAAGAGAGAGGTAGAGAAAGATGAAGGGGAGAGAGAGATAGGAGGAGAGCACGAGAGAGAGAGAGAGAGACGAAAAGCACTGGATGAATGAGAGAGAGGCCGAGAGAGAGGAAGAGACAGCAGTCGAAAAGAGAGAGCAGAGCGACGAGACGCAGACAGATCATAAAAGACACAGAGAACACTACGACCACACCAGAACAGACAGAACCCGAAAAGGCAGACAGACAGAAACAGAACCCCCCAAGCACGACCAGAGCAAACAGAGACACCCAGACAGACAAACAAACAAAACAAAAAACCAGCCAAACCAGCCACCCCAACCAGCGACCCCACATTCACCCTTGACAAGCGTCGAGCACAACCGCACCAAATTGCAGCTTTTGCCATGAGAGAAGAAGGCCCGCCCCGCTCCGGCTCGCCATGCACCGGTCCACGGGACCACTGAGACGCTCTTGCTAGGGAAACCCCCCAGGATCGCTCGTCTTCTGGAATCCATGCCCCGCCCTGGCAGTGAGGTAGTAGGGTAGGCTGGAGGAGCTGGGAGGAAGATGATGTGTCGGGTTGTGGCCCGGGTCTGAACGGTAGCGAGCATTGGCGTGCAAGTTGGCGTTCGAGCTTCGCGGTGGGTGGTCGGCGGTAGGTGGGGAGGTGTGCGGAGACGGAGGGGAGGTGGGGGAGAGAGGAGGAGGGGTCGAGAGTCAGTAGGAGGATGGAGGAGGAGGAGGGGGAGGGAGGAGGAGGGGAGCGAGGAGGAGAGAAGAGAAAGAGGAGGAGTAGGAGGTTGGTAGGTGGTGTGGGGAGGGAGGGGGAGGGGAAGAGATGGTGGTTGGGGGGGGGTAGTGAGGTGGTGGTGGTGGTGGTGGTGGCTGGAGTGATAGGGGAGGGGAAGGGGGCGTGGTGGTGGAGACGGGAGGTGGTGGTGTGTGGAGAGGGAGGAGGAAGAGAAAAAGAGACTCGGCATACGGTTGGTGCTGGGGAAGAGGATGAGGGTGAGTCTGGTCGTGGGTGGTGGGGGCGGAGTGGGATGGATAGGTGATGAGGGGAGTGGTGGTGGGGTGTGGGGGGGTGCGAGGAGGAGGAGGGAAGGGGGATAGTTGGTGCGCGGGAGGGGGGATGGAGGGGGAGGTGGTGGGGAGAAAGAAGACAGGCAGAAGAATAGAAGCAGAAAGAAAAAGAAGGCAAGCAGAGGGCAAGTATTAGAATAGCCTCTAGAAGAAGAAGAAAGAAGGAAACCCCAAGTAAACCCGGTCCGGAAGAGAAGACCCGATCCTCAGGAGAGAAAAGCAAGCGTAGATTAGGAGGAGGAGGAGGAAGATAGTTAACACGGTCACTATAGAGAAGGCAAGCTAATAAGGCGAAGAACACAATCGAGGATGAGAGCCAGGAGAGAGAGGAGGAGTCGACCAGCCCTACGAGGAGGAGAGAGGAGAGGAGAGCCGAGGGGCGGGAACGGTGATGACACAGCATTCGCGCCGCCCTCTGCATATCGAGAGAGTGCCACCGGCTTTCCTCCCTCCGAGCTGAAACTTCCCCGCATGTCTACTAGACGAGATAAAAATAAAAGAATGAATAGATTAAAAAAAAGAATCGCTCCATCCTTTTTTTTTTTTTTTTTTCCTTTTCTTTCTTCTTCTTTGTTTTCTTTTCATTTAATTTCCTTTTCTTTCTTTCCTTTAATTTCTTTTTTTTCCTTTCCTTTCTTTTTCTTTTTAATTTTTTTTCTTTTTCTTTTCCTTCTTTTCTTCTTTCTTCTCTTCTTTTCTTTTCTTTACATTACATTTCATTTTTCTTTTTTCATTTCTATTCTTTTCCTTTCTTTCTTATTATCCTTTTTCTTTTCTTTCTTCTTTTTACGCTTATTTCTTTCTCTGTCCGTTCCAGTTCGCGTGCATCTTCAGTTTAGGACCGTGAAATTTTAGTGTGGTTCGCAGTGGCCACGTTGGGGGACTGTGATTGCCCCCAAGCCCCGAACTTACGTGTTGATTGGACAGGCTGTTTGTTAGCGACGTTCATTCTCCTCGCGTCTTAACCAGAAGGGGCACTTTGTCATCGGGCTTTGCGGCACTTCGTGCCGCCTTTATTCTGGGGTTTCTTGGAACTTTCGTGCGGTTTCTGGAGGTTTGGTGGATCCGTGGACTCTGAGTTTTGCGGGACTCGTCTGCGGTTCTGGCCCTCGGGGTTTGGGACTCGTGGGTTCTTGGCGGTTTAGGGCGCACTCCGCTGAGGTTTCTGGGGTTTGGGACTCGTGCGATTCTGTGGGTTTGGGCACTTCGTAGGGTTCTGGGGTTTGGGACTCGTGGACTCTGGGCTTTGGGACTCGTGGACTCTGGGACTCATGGACCTTTGGGACTCATGGACTCTGGGCTTATGGGACTCATGGACTCTGGGATTGACTCCTGTCTCTTAACGGACCGACCCAGACCGCCGCAGTACGTCTAGACCAGGGTGGGCTTAGGACCGACCTTTGGAAAGGGTACTAGACCAGTGATTCTTGGAGTTTTAAAAGAGGATAAGTGAAAGAAGAAAAAAATATCATATCCATTATGCATTTAACAAAGATCTTCTTCCTTTCTTTCTCTTTCTTATTTTTGCTACTCTTTTATTACTTCTGTTCTTCTTATCCTCATTCCTTTTCTTTTCCTCCTCTCGCCTCTTTCTCTCTTCCTTACTCTGTCTCTCTCTCTTCTCCCCCTCTCCCGTCCCTCGTTTTCCCCTATCTCATTCCCCTGTCTTTCCTTTCCCCCCTTCTTAACTCTCCCTTGCCTTCCTCCTCCTTCTTATTTCCCCCTCTTTGCTTCCCCTCTCCCTTTCGCCGCTTCCCTATTTCTCCCCTGCTCTCAATCTCCTTCTTCTTCCCCACCCCCTTCTCACTCTCCTTCCTCTCCCTCCTATACTCCCTTTCTCTCTCCTCTCCTTCCCTTTTCCTCCTTACCCTCCCCCTCCACGCCCAATTCTCCCCCTCCCGTCATTCTCCCTTCTCCCCTCATCCGCCCATTTCTCCCTTCTCCCCCTCCCGCCCAATTCTCCCTTCTCCCCTCCTCGCCCATTCTCCCTTCCCTCCCCCCTCCCGGGTCCAATTATCCCTTTCCCTCCCCCCTCCCCCATTCTCCCTTCTCCCCTCCCGCCCATTCTCCTCTTCCCCTCCCGCCCTTCTCCCTTCCTCCCCCTTTCGCCCAATATCTCCCTTATCCCTCCTCCCACCCATTGCCTCCCTTCTTCCCGCTCCCGCCATTTCTCCTCCTTCTCCCCCTTCCCCGCCCCATTCTCCCTTTAATCCCCCTTTTTCCGCCCATTCTCCCTTCTCCCCCTCCCGCCCATTCTCCCTTCTCCCTACTCCCGCCCATTCTCCTCTTCCCCCCTCTCGCCCATTATCTCCTTCCTCCCCTCCACCCTTCTCTTTCCCCCCTCCTTCCGCCATAAAATGTCTCCCTTTCTCCCCCTTCCGCCCGCCATTCGCCCGGGGTGCTTTTGAGGAATTAGCATTCTGTTTTGCGGCGCTAATAATTAAAATAGCAAAGCATGGCTACTCTTGCGCGCCGACACCTTTCAGACACGCCCCCCTCCCCCCCCACGCGCGCCCGCCCCCTCTGGCTATCTCCATCGACACACGGAAGGCGATCTACTAGAAACACAGAAGAAGAGAGGTTGGAGAGGGCTCACACAGCACCAGACATAGGAGGAGGAGGTGGTGGTGAGCGTTGGGTGTGCGAGGAGGAGAGGGGAGGTAGAGTGAGGGTAGACGAGGGAGGTGGACAAGGAGGGGGCAGATGGGGAAGGAGGAGGGAGGGAAGGAGAGGAGAGAGGAGGAAGGGGCAGGAGGAGAAGGAGGGGGAGGAGGAGGAGGAGGAGGAAGGGGGAGGAGGAGGAATGAAGAGCGGCCCTCCGTTGGGTGGAAAAGGAAGCAAGAGAAAAAAAAGAAGAGGAGGGTAAAAATGCGGGAAGAAGACCAACTATACTGAAGAAGGAAAGAAGAAAAAGAGGACGAAAACATCTGGGGAAACAGAAGACGATGATGAAGAAGCAAAGAAGAAGAAGAAGGTAAAAGTAAAGGGAGAGAACAAGAAAAGCACCGACCTAGTGGGAAAAACGGCAGCACGGGACGAGGGAGAGGGGGAGGGGTTGGGGGGCAGGGAGGGAGAGACGAGAGAGAGAGACGAGAGAAGAGAGACCCGTCGCGAGAGAGGAGGAGAGGGAAGAGAGAGAAGAGAGAGCACGGCGGAAGATGAAGAACGACGACTGAGACGGTTGAGAGACCGAGAGAGGGTGAGCAATTTTGAGAGAACAGACCTAGACAGGACAGACAGGAGATAAAGAGAGAGAGAAGTCCACCACCTAATCCAAATTCCTCACACCCCACCCCACACCCTCCACCTCCCCTCCCTCTCCCCTCCCCTCCCCCCCACCAACCTTCCTCTCCGAGGCCACCGTCAGCAGCGCCCCCACACAGCACGCCATACCCCCGCCTCCATTCAGAGTCTCCCGGGCGGGCCACGAGCCAACACCGCTCCCAGGTAAACTGCCCCAATCACTATTACCTGCCCGCAGCCCCCTCGCTCCCTTCAACAAAAGGATCTCGCGTTGCTGCATTTACGACTTTATTATCTTCTTTCGTCTGAGGTCATTATTATCATCCTTGTGCTGTTGTTATCATCGTTGTCTACTAATATTGTAGTCTTTTTTTTTTTTTTTTTTTTTTTTTTTTTTTTTTTTTTACGCACGTCCCTGGTAGTCTCATCATTCTTCTCGCTTGTATATTATCTGCCAATCTTCTCTACATATTTTCCTCTTTTTTTTCTTTTTCTTTTTTTGCTCCATAACTCGTGCCGGATATTGCAAAACGCTTTGGCCTTCACAACCTGCCAATGATTTCTGAAACGGGCGCGAAACGTAGTGAGAAAAAAAAAAAAATACCGTACCCCTTCTACTCCCATTTCTTCCCCGAGGATTCTCTCATGATCTTGTTCACCTCTGCTTTTCTCTCACAGATTATAATTCACAAATGGAACAATGGATTGAAGTCGCCTCCGTGCATTGGGCCATTGCTCAGGCCATGCAAATTAGGGCACAGGAATTCGTTATTTATTGTCGGCAGATGAAAAGAGAGAGAAAGAAAAAAAAAAAGGGTAACATGACTAGAAAAGAATTGATTTCTCCTTCTACGTCTCTCCTGCCTTTCTCGTCTCTCTCTCTCTGCATACATACATACATACATACATTATACATATATATATATATTCATATATAGTATATATATATATATATATATATATATATATATTATATATGACAATATACATATACATATGCATATATCTGTATACATTAAATATAAATATATTATATATACATTATCACTTATACATTTACCTTATAACATCTATACACAATTATACATTTACTACATTATATTACTAAATATACATAACCACACACCACACACATACACCCACACATCAACACACACAATCATTCACACAACACACTCAACACATCAACACATATAAAACACACCACACCACAATTCGTCAAATTATTATATATATAATATATATCATCAATCAATAATAAATATCATCTTCAAATTATCACTTTATCTACGATAATATCTGAATATATAAATATGCCCTATGTATACAGAACTCTGTATACGAGCGTTAACTCACATAGTGGCACAATCATTGCAGCATGTATCACGAATAAGCTAGTAATTATTAGTGCCTATACTAGATATATACCATATGTAATTTACCGATATTTATCGATATACTAATATCTATAGTATACAATATACATTTCATGGTTTCTATACATTAATTTATCTACATAAACTAATACATGTACTTGAAATATATATTATATATAACAATGATATTACTGTACTATAATCTATATATGTGTGTCGCGCTTGGGAATGGATTAAAGAGTCGTCTGCTGCTGATTCGGTTTTTGTTTTTCCTAATGTGTTTGGTGTTGTTTGGCTGTATGCTGTAGTGACTGTTGTTCGTTTGTGTGTTGTGTGTGTTCGTGTGTTTTTGTGCGCGTCAGGATGCGGGTCGTGTCATGGGTACTATGAGTATAGTGATGTATATACATGTACATATATGTGCATACCTATATTATTATAATACATATACATGTTGGGTGATGAGGCGTATTATACCAGTACTACGACTTACTAAGTATATTACCCCATCGGTGGGTGCGATCTANTTAATACAACATTGACACATAATGAGGTAATAAACGTACTTTTATTCTGTACAGTTGATAATGAAACATGAATAATGAGATCTACGAAGAAATGAAAGCGAAAGAGAAATAGACATAATGACAGCTAATCAACCGGCTTATGATTATGGAACATATATTCCTTTCGTGTATTGTTTTGTTACACGTTGTGATTTCTGGGTTCCTAAAGGTAAATACAAGACGGGAAGGACATCAGAATTACTGTAGTTAGCTTTTTTATTCTTTCCCCATGTGAGTAAAACAAGTCCTCGCTCTATTTCACCTTTCTATTCTATCTATCCCTCTATCTATATTCAATATTTTTTTCCTCTCTCTCTCCCTCACTTCGACCTCTTCTCCTTCTCTCCTCCTCTCTCTACTCTAAATATTCATCCCTCTCTCTCCATCTCCTCTCCTCTCCCTTCTGTCGGATCTCCCTTCTCTCTCTCTCTCTTCTCTCTCCCTCTCTCTCATCTCCTCTCTCTTCTCTCCTCTCCTCTCTTCTCTCGTTCTCTCTCTCTCTCCGGTTCCTCTCTCCTCTCTTGCTCTCCTCATCTCCTTCTCCCCTCCGTTCTCTCTTTCTCTCCGTGGTCCTCTCTCCTTCGTCCTCTACTCCAACATCGCGTCAGTACGTTCTTCAGCGATGATCTTAAATCCAGCAAATCTCCCGTTAACTCCCCCACACTTTTTTCAAATTTCGAATATTTCAACGATTTCCCAAACCACTACCCAACATTCCTGGAAAGCCTCCACCTAAACCAAACCGATATATCTGAAGGCTCAAATGTTTTTCACTCATTTTACCGTAAAACACAAACATTTCAAATATTTTTACTAGTTTACAACTGA